CTCTCTCTCTCTCTCTCTCTCTCTCTCTCTCTCTCTCTCTCTCTCTCTCTCTCTCTCTCTCTCTCTCTCTCTCTGTGTGTGTGTGTGAAAGAAGAAGAAGAAGAAGGAAGGACGAAGGAAGAAGAAGAGATGGAGGGCGAGACTAAGAAGAAGAAGAAGATGTCGTCCTCCTTGCTGTCTCACCTGGGTCCCTACCGGACGTCCAGGCCCTCCCTGCTGATGCAGCAGGGACTGTTCGCTACCGGACGAAAACGAACCTGGCCCGAAAGGACCTGGCCACGAATGGAGAAGGCCTAAAACTTGGCCTTGGTCCGAACAGACCGTGTGTCTGTTCGGCCGCACTGCAAGTCCGAAACAACGTCTGGAACAGACAAAAATGCTGCCTCAAATCGAATCCTGCGGCCCTAAGGCCGGCCGTGGGCCTCCAGGGCGCATGTCCGAAGGGCGTGCAGCCTGGGGGCCCCCAGCAACCATCGGGCCCCCAAAATGGGGCCCGTGCGCAGGCTCAGCATGTAACACATGCTCTTCAAGCTGTGGGAAGAAGCACCGCCAGGGAAACCTACTAGAAGCTCAGTCAATGAATAGTAGACACTCAGCAAGAGCATAGACCCCACAGACTTCAGAGAGAGAGCAGACAGGGCGTAGACGCAGAGTTCCAGCAAAAACATTTAGCCGAAAATAATAATAGTCGCGAGTGCTAGCTCCACAAAACAGTCGATAGCAGCTCATCCAGAGGAAGCACTCATCAGGGTTATGGGTTTTAGCCAGACCAACAACAAGCAGCCAGGCTAACTGTTCCAGCACTTAAACCACCAGTACTTGGACCATAAATCCAGCAGTTCGCTAGCCGAGAGAGTAACAGACTACCGTCTTCACCCGAATACAACGCCCGCTCATTATGGCCGCTTGTGGACTGAAAATTGCACCAAATACGGCTATAATGACCGGGTGTTCTTTTCGGGTGAAGACGGTAGTCCAGCCCTCCTTTGGTGTGTGGCAACAGTTAGAGAGATGTAGTGAGAGTTGGGCTAGCTACAGCAGGTGAAGTAAGCCAGGCAGGGTATCTTAGCCAGGGGTGAGGGGTGGTACATCCTTTTTTCCACCGGAGGTAATCAATGCCATCCACTCGGGCCTCTCAAGCGTCATGGGGAGGAGCGTGTGTGAGTTACTGTTGTAATCTCTTCTGACTTGCCGGTGGAATAGGAACCGGACTGATGCTCCTTCCCAGAATGGAAAGGAGCCAGAACCCGCAAGGTTCTGTTTTGTCGTAAAAATAAAATAAAATAAACTAATATAATATAAAATACGAAAAAACGGATTTTGCATGCAGCGGAATGCAACCTCAACCTGGTCGGAAATCCAGACTTGCAGAGGTACGCTAGTCTCTCAGATCCAGCGCATGAGATGCTACGGTCTTCCCCCAAATGGAAATTTATGGTCATTATTGCTGTATCTAGACTGAAAGCTGCCCCAAATGCAGCTGTAATGACTGTATAATATTCCTATTAGGGGGAAGATGTTAGGTTGAGTGGCACAAGTGAAGAGAGTCGAGGGGTGGAAACTGAGAGCAGAAGTCAAGGATAGGGAAGAGAATGAGCAAATGATCAAGTTTCACTTGCTAAAACTAAGGGCCAATTTAAGCAACTATTCCAACAGCTTTTGATCGGAGAGGGTGAGCTAACCTCCAACGCGCTCGACCTACTGAGTATGGCGGCACAATTCCATAAGGGATTCTATTTTTTTTTTTCTCTCTGTTTTTTTTTTTTTTTAAATATCAGATCATTAAACTGATCAGAACAGATAATACACTTGATGTATTTTTAGCCAAAAGGCCGAGAAAGGTATTGCAGGAGGGATTCTATTTGAGCAAAACAGAGAAACTTGTTCCCGCGGAAGCAAGAAGAGGCGGAGACAGGTTCTTGAAGCACATAGATCGATCACTTATAAACATACATGCAAGCGCAAGCCGTGCGGGCAATCGCGCACGTCCGGCCCACGGGATCCGTGTGGCGCACAGGCACGTAGGGCGCACAAGCATGCAAAAACAAAAACCCAGCTGGGAGAGCAATGTCGCCAGCTAACGCTCAAGACTCAAGACTGATGTCTCAGAGACCTATTTGAGCCTTTGAGGCTATTTCTGATGCTCAGCAGGATCTCTTCCTTAGGTAGTACACCCTTCTGCATCTATGAACGCAGCCAGGAAATTTGAAAAAAGGTTGCTGGTGCGGCACGCAGGCAGGTTCTGTGCGCCACTCGGCGCACCGCACGGCTCGTGCAGTGCAAGTATATATATTATATATATGTATGGCTGTTCCCTTCCTCTTTTCTTTGCCTCTTCGCCTTTTGGCTGTGTGCAAGTGGGTCGATATGACACACGGGGGTGGGGGCAGCCGCCGCTCAACCTACATCCACGTGGGCGGCCTTGTACGCAAGAGGTTCTGAACAGGGGGAGTCTTGTAAGGAAGAAGATATAAAAAAACGAATTCATTCTTTTTTCTTCTTTTTTTCGCTTTTGCGCTCTCATATTCATGTGATGATATATATGCTTATAAAGGAACTAAAAGCACATATATTGACCGCCTACAAAGAACCTATCTGGACGATTAGAGGAGCCCATTACAGAGGGAAAACTACTCCAAGTTCTATCGTCGATGAAGCCAAGCACAACACCAGCGAAAGATGGTGTATCCAAGGAGTTCTGCCTGGTCACCCAACCCTGCTGTCGCTGGTTTCTCAAGGCGTTCTGCCTGGTTCCCTGGCCTTCACTGGGCCACCACTCTTGGGCCCATTCTTGCATGGGCCCAAGAATGGCCTTTTCCACCCCATTCTTCTTCTTCTTCTTCTTCTTCTTCTTCTTCTTCTTCTTCTTCTTCTTCTTTCTTGGTTGCGGTCCTGCGTCGTAATCATATTTGTGATCCTGACCATGGCAACGTTCATGCCTTAAACCACCAGTACCTTTCTCAGCTATCGGTGCCGAGCCTAAAAAAGAACGAACCGGCGCCGATTCGATTTCGGCTGGCGCCACCAGCTATTTCGCGCCGGTAGTTCCGAAGTTGCCCCCCCCCCCACCCCCCCCGTGTTAACCGGCGGGCATTTGTTTTTTTAAGCAGGGAAAGGTACTGGTGGTCTAACTCGGGTGGGCTCACATGAATGATTGTTCATTTGCTGGAAAAGGAAGAAAAACAGAGGCCTGGGGGAAAAAAACCTTGTGTTGCTGCTGGGGCGTTTGGCCACTGGGTAGGTGCCGGGTGGTGAAGGACCACAACCACAGAATGGCAGAAGAAATGGAAAAAAAGGTGACTGATTCAGCTTTTGTCTTTGCCTTCTCCTTTTTCCTTCACAACATTCTTATGTTTTTGCAGATAGCTGACTAAGGTGACAAAGAGTGGCAGAGATCTGACGGCGAAACAGCGGCTTCGGGCAAGAATGAGAGCGTAGTAGTAGTACTACGGAGGCCGAGGTCCGAGGTGAAATTTGACAACAAACTGTTGGCTTTGCTCAGTTTGCTGCTGTTCACTGTGTGAGCGTGCAGTTGGCCGTAAAGAGTTAGCGGGCCCGCCGACCAGTTGGGCTGCCAGAGTGGATCGATTGTCACAGAACCAAGCTGCACTGCTGCTGCAGTAAGTAGCACAAGCGCGGGACTAGCGGTAGGGGAACTACCCGAGCACCAGCACTGAAGGGGAGTGATTGTGCTTTAGCTTTGCAGGGCTGACTGCAAGTCGACTTGAGGAAGTGAAGGGGAGTTGCCGCACCGCGTGACAAAGCTAGACTCTTGAGAGAGGAAAGCACTCGGAGGGAACGATGAGTCCTCCGGCAGCAAGGGGTCGAGGACGAAGAACTTCAAGTGATGACAGAGGAGGAACATCGTCGCGTGGGACCTCACCACGAGTTAGCGGCAGAGGTTTATCCAGGGGGCGAGGAGGGACCCTCAAAATATGGGGTATAAATGTGCCCTATTCCGATAAGCTGAAAAACTGGAAGCACCAGAAGCCGATGATGAAGTTAATCTTGGTTGGGGTGCTGATTGTGGCAATAGCCCTTATCCTCAACTTGTGGTACTTCTACTTCGGCAGGAAGGGCTTTGTATGGCGGGGAAAGAAGAGTGGGTGGTACTGATGCTCACCAACCAGAGGGAGTGGCTGTGCCATGGACCAATCCATTCTCTCCTCTACTCCCTCTGCACCTCCCCTCTCTCTCCCACTCTGGGGGAGTGGCTGTGCCATGCCTTGCACGTGTCAGGCTATGGACTACCTTACACTCCCCTCCACCCCCTCTCCGCCTCCCTGCTCTCTCCCACCCTGTGGCTGGCTGGCATCGCGAACCAGCCTTGGCGTCAGTGGGCTCGCCTCTCGTCATTGTGATTATGTTTCTTTTCACCTTATGTTATTACTGTGGAAGGGCAGGCGAACGAGAGAGCGGGGAAGAGAGAGGGGGAGGGGGGAGGGAGAGAAGGGGTCGGGTTCGGGGGAAGGGTTTGGGAAAGGGCGAGGAAGTGGGTTGAAGATGGGGGTATGACAACGGTCATCTGGCGATGATGATGGTGAGGGGGAAAATAATTGTGTGTGTGTGTGTGGGGAGAGAGAGAGGGGGGGGGCCAGGGTCCATCTGCCAGCTGTTATTGCACTTCATCCTTTGCTCGGAATCCTTACGGTTCCTTATCACCTTGTTCTGGAATGATCCCTTCCCCCTGCGTTTTCCCTCCGACAGTCGTTGACAAGTCATTCTGTCATACCCAGCTCAAGGGCCTCCAATCTCTCTGTTGAGTCTGGCCACTCTCCCCTTTCCTGTTTGAGACTTGAAAGCTATCATCAATGATCAGCTACACCACTCCTTGCCCTCCCCCCCCCCCCCCCCCCCCCCCTTCAAACTTCTGCCATGCATTACTTGTGGCGGTTGGTGTCCTTATCCTCCGTCCACTGCCCCTCTCATTCCCGCTGCTACTGATACTGTCGTTATCTTTGTTGTTGTTGTTTACGTGTTTCTGAACCAATAAGTGTGTGTAGAGCTTCAGCTAACTCTTATGCAAGTGCACCATTCCTTGATTCAAGTTCGGTGAGATTATCTTCATCATGTGTGTTTGGTTTCGTGTTTCGCTCCTCTCTCTCTCTCTCTTGTTTACCCATTGTGTTCGAGAGAGAGCTCTCCACTGGCTCGTTTGCTGACAATAACTGACATACACTAGCAGCAGGAGCCAAACTAGCTGGAAGATTCTGTACTGTTTGTTCCTTGTGTGTGTGTGTGTGTGTGTGTGTGTGTGTGTGTGTGTGTGTGTGTGTGTGTGTGTGTGTGTGACGTGGGGTGAGTTTGTGATGGTTACGTGCATCTGTTGATCGACTGAACTGGACCTGGACACAGGGTGTTCTGCACATGAGGTCATGTTTGAGTGACCTGGCATAGAAAAACTCTGAAAAATCAGAAAAATCAGAAAAAGTATAGTATCACTAATATCACATAAGATGATTCGATCTAGGAGGGCTTCAAAAAACACATCATTGTTGACTGCTAAGTTAGTTATTAACTTATTGCTTGAACCTTTGGCGTCAGATCACTTTAGTTCATGTCATATGTGTGGTCTATAACATATAGTACATCGTTAGCAGTGCAGAAATCAGGGATCAGGGTGCATGACACACAAAGATAACCACTATTAACCAAATTAATAAATTATTCAAAGTCATCATTTTTCAACATTTTGACATTTCCAAATATCCAGGCTTTCATTGATTTATTATAATCAAAATTTTGGTGTGTGAACGAACCACGACATGAACCGGAACGACTTCAAAAAACTTGAAATAAGTCAAACGACTCACAACCTAGGAAAAAAAAGAAAAAGAATTCACAACCAAGGAAAAAATAAATAAAAAGAAAGATGAGGACAAGCTCACAAACAGACTCTGCATTCTGGTGGCTCAGATTGGTGGGTTGGTGGTGATGGCCCCGATGGGATCATATTACCCGCATAATCACTCGGATACCCAGTGTACAGTGTTACAGTAACCACAATACTGAGTGAAAACGCTGAAAAAGTGAAAACACTGAAAACACTGAAAAGTTGAAAACCATGGCTTTTTTTTTTTTTTTTTTTTCTTTTTTTTTTTTTGGGGCACGTCTGCTCAGGAGGAGCATTTTTCTTTACTCGGGGGAGAGAGTTTCTTGGGTACTGATACTGTGCATTTGAAGTGGTTAGGGTGGGCTATGGCTGAAGATTCCACAGGCGGACCACGAGCTTCGAGAGGGCAATTGTTGGACAAAAAAAAGATACTTTTGGTTTAGCGTTTTGGAGGTGGTTTTCTTTTTTACTTTTGCCTGATGTGAACTCTTTCACACCAGATGCACTGGTTGTTGTGGGGGCATTTCTCTGATGGCCACCAAGAAAACAAGGCAAGCAAAATCTCTGCCAATTCGGGCTATTGTAATGATGCCCATCGGCGAAAAAGAGGACGAAACAATCTGGCACAATCATGTATAGCGCACATGACAGTCGGTGAAAGTCCGACGAAACAGTCCGACAAAACAGTCCGGCACAGTCGTGCGTTTTTTGAGTGTATGCTACTGTATACAGTGTATAGCGAATATGACCACACACATAAAAAGGGGCTACGACCGACAATCTGCTAGGATTGCCGAGTTGGTACGAGTAAAGTCGCCAATTTTCTCTGGGGTATTGCTAACTCTGCTCTGGGGAACGCGGTGAGCCCTTGTCCATCCGTCAAATGCATTCTGGGCAGACTGTCGGTCCAGGTTCAAGCTCCTGACGAGTCAGTGAAAGTCTGACAAAACAGTCTCTGTCACAGTCATGCGTTTTTTTTCGGAGTTATGCAGTTGACCGAATTCGGTCCAGGTTCAAGCGAACCTGACCACACACACGACCAGAGTCGTGCATTTTTTTTTTGTTGTTGTTCTTTCGGTGACCATATTTCTGTGCAGTTGTTGCCCACGATGTCTGTTCTCTGGTCTTTTCCTGTGCTCCTCTTCCATGTCTAAGCGAAGAAAGCCTTTAAGACGTGCGCCAAATAGTCAGTGTCCTGTTCGTTTAGCATGCCTGCAACACTATTACTAGGGGGGCGGGCGGCGCCGGGTGTGTTTGCTACTACACGACTGTGTCTGTGTGCTCCTGGGCGAGGACAGACATTTGTCGATGGCTTCAGTGGTAATGTGGTCCTGCAGTCTGCATCCATGTGTGATGTGAGTAGGCGGTCATCTGCTTCGGTCTGTGCTAAATGTGTGGACTGCCTTGCCGGTGCTCTGCTTGGCTGCCTACACTATAACAATCCAGACCCCAACAGGTATCCAGTGCTCTGCAATAGTACTATGTGTGATGTGTTTGCTAATATTAGAAGGGAACTTTAACGCAGCACCGGGCCCAGACCGCTGGCTGGAGCGCTGGAAATTCCCAACCCTCCACCCCCCTGCCCATCATACATGGGAGGAAGACGATAATTTAATTACAATAGGGGACCTTCACAGCACCCTTGGTACCCCAGTGAAAAAAAATGACCTTTTTCCTGTTTTAGGAACACAGGTGTGGAAGGGAAGTCCAGGTCAGGAATCGAGTTAATCCTCTTGTGGGAGAGCTCAAAAGAGCTCTTAGTCCTTCGGGACATCCGTTAAAATTGGAACGATACAGAGAATGAAGATTAGCAGGGCCCCTGCGCAAGGATGACACGCATAAATCGAGAAATGGTCCAAATTAAAAAAAAAAAAAAAAAAAAAAAAAAAAAAAAAAAAAAAAAAAAAAAAAAAAAAAAAAAAAAAAAAAAAAAAAAAAAAAGCAGGGCCCCTGCGCAAGGATGACACGCATAAATCGAGAAATGGTCCAAATTTGCAAGGAAGATGAGCAATAGCGAACTTCGACAATCAAACAGCATCATACATATGAGTCCAGATAGTCTTGACCCTGTCTCTTATACACATCTAGATGTGTATAAGAGACAGGGCCAGGACCGCAAGGCGACGACGGCAGGAACACTGTCCTTCCGCAAAATGCCGGGATTTTATAAACTTAACACTTCCCTACTCATGCTGAACCAATTCAAAGCACACGTGGAAGCATCCTGAGGGCATACTCACACTATGATGCTCTTACGTATTTCTGGACGAGATTGTGGCCTGATACATCCAGGTCCTATGGCCGTAAATGCTGTCAGATACATTTGTGATACTACTGCTAGTAGTGCGAGTACACCCTGAGTCTACTTGCAAAACCAGAAATACAGCCGTCTCTCCCATTGCCTCTGCTTCAACAATGGATTGTTCTTAACGGCGTGCAAATGCAAAGAACTATCACAAGCATCAGCAAAAAAAGGAAATTCACCAAAGAAAAAAAAAAATTGAGCTCCAACAGGAAAAAATATAGAACTACAAACGACAGGAGGGCCTTGAAAATTTGACACCCTTTAAAAGTTGAACGAGCAATTGCTAGAATTTGCAAAATAGTAAAAATACAGATTAACAAACAAAAAACAAAAACAGATGGCAGACGGAAGGTATCCAAAGTTCCAAACAGATAAGAGCACAATGGACACCACACCATCTTTGGCATGATCAGGGAGGTTAGAACGGGAGGGGGAGGGGGAGGGGGAGATCCATGATAGAAGCACTACCGGTGGCAGACCCAATTGAGAAAGAGGGGGGGGGAAGCCAACGCCACCGGGCACTGCTACCAACCAGCTTACCGTTTTGGCCCGAATATAGCGCCCGGTCATTAATTACAGCCGTATTTGCGGCCATTTTCTGTCCAGATGCCGCAATAATGACTGGGCGTTCTATTCGGGTGATGGTAGTGTTGAAGGAGTGGCCTCGGCAACTACAGGCGGCCGAAGGCCGAGTTATCCTACGTAGTAAGATACGCCGATGATTTCATTGTTCTTCACAAGGCTCGAAGACTTGTTCAGCGCAGCGCACTCAAACAGTTCCTATCACAATGGCTCCTGCACTTTGTGCCTGATCAAACTCGCATTGTCTCAAGCCTTGAACATGCAATCGAGATTTGAATAGGCGCTGGAGTTTCCATGGGGAGAGAGGGTGTTTTTTTCCCTCCCTTCCCCTCTTCTTGTGGAAATAGTAGGCGCTGAAACGTGGAAATGGTTTTCTCAATCTTCGGATTTCCTGATTTTTTTTTATTTTATTTTTTTTTCCCCCGAAAGCCCTTGTGACATCCCTCTATCTCAGCGGTGGTACGAGAACCGCTAAACTTGAGGGCTTGTCTGTTGGGCTGCTCCATCTATTGGTGGGGAGCGGCACCTGCTGGAAACCGGGTCCAGCGTCCCTTGTGACAGATGTTACAGATTAAGAAGTTCGTAATTGCTGTTCCCTGGGGCTGCGGCAGTTTCAGTTTCTGTTCCGGGGCTCTATTATCCCTTGGAGCTGCTAAAACACCCAACCCTTCTTGGAGCACCCTAACTTTTTTCTCTCACCCCAGCCCTTCCCTTGCAGCTCCCCTGTGACATTAAATCCCACTCAGCCCTTTTAGACCCTTCGAGCCTTATACCCGGTCCGATGTCCACCTTGGTTCCCCCC